GCCCCCGTGGCCTCTCAAGGACCCATTTGAGCGGGGAATTGGCCCATAAAGCACATGCGTTATGCACGATTAAGGCTCGATAGTAAAATGCTAGTTAGTAGTAAGAGAACCCACCCTCGTCCCCCTCAACTCCGAGAGTGCATAAACATTAGGCAACGGAGTCCTGTTAATTTTTATACAGAATGCCATAATTAGATTTACAGGACAATATATGAAAAACTACACAATTTCTGATATGTATATACTGGAAAACATAACTCATCATTGGCAGAGCTTTCAAATGATAACGATACACCAACTTTTGGTAAGTTTGATTTTTTGACCTTTTGTGTCATGTGACTTTATATATTGGTCTATATCGCTTTAAATATGTCTTATGTTGTTTGGTGTAATGACAATAAATGATCAGTGTATAATTCCCTTTCCATTGACACCAATCATGAGCATGTTTTATGTGGTGCGTCAGCCATCTTGGAATTCAAAATGGCGGCCGATGACGTTGGGAAAAATGGCACCAAACTTTTTTTAATTCAGCGCAGTAAAAATTATAAAATTAGTCAATAAAATATATTTTTGCACAGAAATCTATCTGGATTACATAGAAAACTATACTAGTAGCTTATATACTCGTTCTTATTTTATGTACATTTTAAGTATATTTTGCGATTATTTTAAAACAAATAAACACCTATTTTTTAATCATGTTCCATTCTGGCATGAGTGACAGTAGTTTTTATATGTTTAGTTTGTTGCCTGTCAACAAATTATGAGTTTAGACACCAAAATCATATCTGTAGCTTATATAGTTCCAATTTTATGCACATTTAGATAAATTTGGCGGCCATTTTGAAAAATGACCGCCATTTGTATACAAGGTGTAAAATCAAGTGTCAACAGGGCTTAGGGTGACCAGAAGGGATTAATTAGAATATCTGGCTATGTGGATTGCTTATAACATTCCACTCCCCCTAACTCATTTTTTCCAGATTTTTTTTCTAGTCTATTTTTATTTTTATTTTTTAGGGAAAAAAAATCTTCCATTACAGCTAATAAAAATATATTTATTCTGAGTTATATGATATGAGACTAAATTCAACTCTACTGCACATATACAAACAGAGCTACTAAGTTTTCCTGATTTTGCAAAAGTTTACCAAAAACCGACTTTTTTAAAGTAAAATCATGTATAAGAATTAAAAAAAATATATATCTTTTGTGAGTTATTAATGACAATTTGGCTCATTTGCTAGGATTGAATGAATTAAAACATTTTATGACCTTGAAAATAATAAAATTGTAAAAAGTATGTATTTATTTATTTAAAAATGCCTATTGCATCATCATTATTGGGATATGGAACCTGTCTAGATGCTTCGAGTGTAACGACTGGCAAGTTTTTTTACGAATCATCTCTTGATCTGAATTATGTTGTGGAAACAATAACCGCGTAAATTAATTACTGTGTGAAACATGTAATCCCATCTAAACAGATAACTGTATTTCCCAACAAGTCCTGGATGAACAAGAACCTTAAGCACATGATAAAAAAAAATAATTGTTTGTATTTTACAGAAACAAGTATGAAAATAAATCAATGAATTAAGAAGTCAGACGAACCATTCGTGTACCAAAGACAAAGTATAAGAGAAAATATAGAAACAATTTGGAAATGTTACGAAATACTTGGCAAGGTATAAAGAACATGGCTTCTATTAATTCTAACAACAAAGTTAAGAAGAAGATTCGCCAAGATAATGCAACAAATATTTTTTTGCATAATGTACTAGGCGATTTCTTCTCAAGATTTGAAAATCATTATATTGAAAGAAGACAAGGCATTATGCCTCATGAAGATTTAAGAAATTTTGAATATAAATAATAAATTATATAATAATGATATAAGCCAAGTACAATGCTACATGAAGATGTAAATAAGTTGAATAATAATCTAACTAGACAAGGCATTATACCGCATGATAAGGAAAATAATCGAAATTAAAACGAAATAAGACAAGGCTATATGTCGCAAGTAGATGTAAATGATCGAAATAACAATAAAATGAGACACGGCACTAACGCCGCATGAAGATGTAAATAATAGAAATTACAATGAGGTACAGTAAGGCTTTATGCTGCACGAAGATGAGAATAATGTAATAAAAATTCAGATTTCAGATTTCTTTAATAACTTCAACTGGCAGTAAAATACTGAATTGCAAGAAGTTTACAAAATATACAGGTAAAATTATTATCTTAAAATACAGAAGAAAAAAAACTTGAACAACACACAACACCACAAAATTTAAAAACCAATGAAGTATGATAAGGTAGTATCATAATGAAGTATCATAATAAAGTATGCTGCATGAAGACCTGAATAATCAAAATAACAATGGCACTATGCCGTATGAAGATTTAAATAATTGAAATTACAATGAGATAAGACAAGGCTTTACGCTGCACGAAGATGTAAATATGTATTAAAACTGAAATAAGCCAAGGCATTATGCCGCATGAAGTTGTAAATAATTTGGATATTGATGAAACTAGGCAAAGTACCATGCCTCATGAAATAAACATTGAGAAAGATCATATAAGGGCATTTCCGCTCACCAGGTCCGCGCGTTCATCCATGCTTAAATACGGTACAGGCGCAAGTTATTATATTGGGTTTTTTGGAAGAGCTAATAAGGTGTAAATTTTTAAATAATAAGAATTCAGAACATTCAGAATGATAATTTTACAAAATTAAAATACTTAAAATTGAAAAAAAAATACAATTTTTAATAATTGGAAAACAAATGACGAACCCCTGTTTTGTTTTGTAGGTGTAGGGGGACCCTGGGATCCAACTTAAAACAAAGGCGTTGAACGTTTGTTGGAGATCACCTGCAGTTTATGGTTACAATACTTCAAACACGTCCGGTCGACGCTGGACGCTTTTAAAATTTGAAACCTCTGGTTTTTTTTTTGTAGGTATAGGGGGAATCTTGGGGTCCCACTTTAAAAAAATGGCGATGAACCTTTGTTAGAAATCACCTCTTATGTGCACAAAATGTCATACACGTCTGTTCAAAACTGGCGACGCTTGACGATTTTAAAGACCAACAAGAACAAGAACAGCAGTGAGGCTCTGGGTCTGCGCTTCACACGGACCAATTGAGTCATGGTTCTAAAAAACGTTGAGGTTAAAACAAAAATGTTTCTGTGCGGATCAACTTTGTGGTGTTCACTAACACCTTTTAGCCCTCGTTAAACGCATGTATGGTATTAAAATTATGGAAGCAATTCACCAGGAATCCGAATTTCTAAGACCAGTTGCTCTTACATCTCTAATTATGAAAATATTTGCAACGAATAATTAATTCGTATATTAATACAAAATGAGAGCCAAATTTCAGTAGAGGTTAATTCTATTTATAAACATCTGGAATTGCCAGATTCATTTGGTAGATTGATTTTTGCCGACTTCTGCCTTTAATAAATAAAAATACTGTCTCGTTAAACACTAATTTTAATATTAATTTATTAATATGGATTTTTGATTTTTATTAACTAGAATGCGTCACCAAATTTTAGTTAATAATAGATACTCTAAATTGTATGTTACGAATTAAGGCTCACTCCAGGGCCATCTTATCCCCATTGCTTTATATTTTGTATACTAACGATTGCCATAGCACGCATGAAAATATTGTTAAGTTTGCAGATGTTTCTGTTTTACTTACACTTCTTAAGGATAGGAATGATAGTCTTGGTCCTGTTTTGGATGCGTTTAGTCAGTAGATTTTGTGATGACTCAATTAAAACTGAACGGGTCCAAAACAAAGGAAATGATTAATATCGATTTCCAATGAAAAAGACACAGCCTAGGATCACATACTTAAATAACGAACCAGCTGAGATTGTAAATACAAGTACCTAAGTTAGTAATTTATTAGAAGACAATATCAGTTTGGGATTAAATCATGATATCTTAATTTAAGAAGGAAACCAGACATTTTACATACTTAGGACTCGTCTTAACTCGTCTGTTGAAAGTGCCATAACCTTTTCTTTATTATGTTGGTTTTGCAATTTAAATCTTAAAGATAGGAACACCTTGCAAAAAAAAGTAAATCTGTGTTCAAAAATAACCGGAAGTCCATTGCATAGTTCGTCATCCTTTTGTGACAACACAAATTGTAGCTAAATGTAAATATATTTTGAAATCCTCAGAACATGCCATACTCCATGAATTCGAAATATTACCACATGGTCTCGGGTATAAAAATCATTTTGTGTAGAATAAAACGCAAGTTAAATTCGATCGTTTCAACCGGTATTAGGCTCTTGATTAAGAATAAGTAATTTTAATGTTTTGCAAATAAAATAATGATAAGCTAAGATTGTATTATGGGGTTTTTTTGTATGTACACTGCGTGTTTGTTTTATTTCTTTATTTATCAATTGTATTCAGCCCTGTTTTTAAGAATTGCAACATGTGGGATGAATCAGAATTATATTGATATTGATTGTCGTCTCAATCAACCCTCCACAACCCCAAAAAGTACAAAAATAGTTTTGCAATTATAGATAAATTATACATAATATAAGAAGGTGTAACAATTTTAACAGAACAACGAAAAAAAATATCACCCAGACACCATACATTGCATTAATCACTGTAGAATGTCATTGATATGAAATATTTCTAAAACACAGTAGGAGATTACATGGATAGGTGGGGGTGGGGGCGCGATGCCCCTTACGAGGGTTCAGATTTCCCCGACGAAAGCAAAACGGACGTGATCGAGCTTAGATTAAAAGGTTTCGAAAGTGGTTCAGGGGTCAATTTATGGGTTTCTAAGGCTTATTGTTTAGAGTCTACTAATACTAATATGTAGAAAATACATAATAAAATAATTTTTTTTCGATGCGACGAATTGTGCTTTTTCTCCTTGACGGAAAGGGGGGGGGGGGGAAACACTTCTCCCTGACAGCGGCCCTGCCCCCATCCCACTTGCACAACCCCAAAGGTTAACATTAAATCTGTTATAGTCATAGACACTTAGCAGGTTACCTGATCTTGTATTGCTTTTAATTGCTTTATTTCAAAACGTCTTCTTAGATCTTCTAGTGACTGACGTATTTCTACCTGAAGAGTTTGTCTAGAAAAATAAGATTCTGGAATCATATTTTTTCATTATCTGTGACATACAACAGTAAACATTTTGAAAAAATATAATAACAATAGCGGCAGTAATTATTTTTAGTTTATAGCAGATATGGATGATGCCTGTAGGAAACAGGGGAAACATGTTTGCAAATAAATGGTTTATTTCGTTAAAATTTGTGTTCATCTCAGATTTCGCTTTGATCTTTTGGTTCTATTAGTCATGATTTAAGCTGCAACAGTGACATTGGCAAATCAGAATTGAGAAAGCTAAAAAGACTAATCAAGAAATCATGTAAAGCAGAAGCTTTGATGAAAATGTAGACCCAAAATTAGGCTTACCTGAAATTCTCAAGTTCAATTGTTTGCTTGTGTTTTACGGCAACTTTTTTAAGTCTGGCCTTAGTACTATTAGCATCCTTTTCTACGATTTTTTGGAGTGAAATCTCTTGCTCTTGAAGAAATGCTTTCTCTCGTTCCACTTGCATTTCTTTCAGTTTCTTCTTGAACTCTTTCTCCTGCTTTTCTCTGGCATCATTCAGTTTACCTTCCAGTTGACGGATTTCCTAAAATTTGACATAAAAATACTACTTCAATTAATGAAATTCAGTAATGATGAAGATGATGAAATGATATATAGGCCACAAATTAAAATAAATTTATGTATTTGTTTTATACAATGAGAAGAAATGTTGCCCAGCAATTTGATTTATTATATTTTATAACCTTTCATTAGAAAATAGTAATATCATCCTTGTACCTTTCGATAATTTTCAATAATTTTCTTTGATTGTAAATTCTGGATGATGTCTCTCTCAGTCATATCATCCAAAATGCTAATTTTCAATTGCATAAGTGCTTTCTGTTGCTCTTGAATTGTAGCCATCTGCACAAATAAAATAATTAATTAAGCATTAATTATAAATTTGATTACAATTTAAATTCTAACACATCTAACAGCAGACTACCAATGAAATGATGCCTTAAATACTGTGAAGTGTGCTGCGAGGCGTGTAAGACTTTGAACTTTCAATCGGAAGATCGGAGTTCGAGACTGATGCTCTCACACTGCTTGTGTGCTTGCTTTATCTGCTTTTGCCTCTCTTCATCCAGGAGTATAAAAGGTACCTGGTAGGAGGTTAATGATTCGGAATGAAATTAATAGTGTTGATTACATGCATAACTAGGAATACTCGCAAGGAAGCGGAGGAAATGAACAGTTTTCTGGATATGTGCACTATATAAATCCTATAAAATAATAATAATTATAATAATAAAACAAAACAATAACAAATTATTTTTATTAAATAAACAATTCCAAATTATTTTATGCTAATGCTTTGGCGACAATGCCTATTGTAGGTGTTATTTTCACTGCACTTTATAAATGATGATGTAAGAACTGTGACACTGTTCTTCACATTTTATGATTTTCTTGCTTTGCTCGAAGATGCTGTTCGCTTCAGAATTATATTTAAAACAATTGAATCACTTTGTATAGGCCTATTTATTTATTTATTTTTATGGGGGAAGGGGTTTAGCACATGGACCTTGATTGGAGTTGGCACCAGCGACGGGGGTATGGATAATACTTTAAACTGAGGAGAAGTTATTGCTAACAACTTTTCAATACAATATGGTAGTAACATGTATTTCTAAACATGCGGGATGGGAATCAATGTCCCAAACATTAAGGAAATAATTGCGGCACAAAAAATAGGATGGCTAAGAAAACTTCTGTAACACAGGTAAATGGGCTGATCTTTTTAAAAAAAAAAAAATTCATAATAACAATATATTGTGGCTTGCGGATTGTCATCATATAACTACTCGGGTTATTCCAAATTTTACAAAACTTTTTTTGGAAAGACGTGTTATATTCATGGCAATTGTACAACAACATGTTTAAGAACAATATTAGAAATGAAATTGTGCAAACACAATGTCTATGAAATAATGATGATATAATTGTTGATAATAAGCCGAAAGAAATAGTCTTTGTTATTTATATAATTCATTCATAGATTTTTTACATTAGAAGAGTTGACTGATATTTATTATGTTGACATATCCTTTATAGTATGTGAAGGAATTTAACACGCAGTGATGTCATATGTAAAGAAACATAATATTAGAAGATTTATAAACGCCCAATATTATCCAATTTACCCTAATAATATTAATCACAAACTTTTAAAAAGGCATGCAACTTTTTTTTATCATACTCTACTCAATTCAAAATTTACAAAATTGCCATGTAATTTAAATGGGAAAAATACTGACAAACAGTGGGAAGTGTTTAACATAATTCCAATCAAAATGTACATATAGTACTGATCTCAGGTGTTTACAGTATAGAATTATACATTATATTACCAACGAAAAAATATATCTATAAATTAATGTATGTTGATTCACCTCTATGTATTTTTGTAAGCAACATCATGAAACAATCGATCACATTTTTTGGAATTGTAAAAATGTATATGAAATAAAGAGACTTGGATAAATAAAAACCTTCAGATACAATTACAATTTTCAAAGGGGAAAAAAATAATACTGGGTATAAATGGAAAAAAAATAATAACAGTATAAATGTTATTATTTTATTATTAAAAGAAATTATATATAGTAATAGTAAACAGAAAGTGCTACCA